GAATCTGGAAGCTACTTTTTTATTTATTCCATTAAGATTTAAGGGTTGAAACACGCATCCATTGAGCAGAATGTTGTTGAGTGCCGTCGAATCGGTTCCGACCCGTAGCGACCCTGTATAGGGTTTCCAGGGAGCAGCTGGTGAGTTTGAACTGCCGATCTTGTGGTTCAAATGGCTTTGCAGTTTGGCGCATTAACCCTGAATGTTAGGAGGGCAGAATTAAAAAGACCCACTGTCTGCCTCTTAGATTTGGAGGAGGGCTGGAGGTATGTGCACATAAGCAAATAGGTGCAATAAAATGTCACATGTGTGAGTACAGAGACAAAGGGGAAATTCCATCCTGCTAGGAATAATGGAGATTGGGTGAAGGACAAATCAGGAAATGTACACACAGGTGACAGGTGCTTTAACACCTGGCAACATCTGATTGCATAGGTGTCTGTGTCCCCGTAAGGTTTCTTGTTGTAGTTTTGTTTTTTTAACGGAAAAGCAGCTCTCCTTTCTTTTATTATTTTCCTCTAATGGTTTTAAGGAGTCCTGGTGTGGCGCTGTGGGATAAGCACTGGACTGCAAGGTTGGTCTGAACCGCAAGGTCATCAGTTCAAACACACTAATCGCTCCTCAGAAACCTTACACAAGGTGGCTATGAAACAGAACCGACTCTACGACATATAACAACAACAGCAATGGTTTTAAGATCCCAGGTCCCAACATTTGTGGCACTGGACCACAGGTGGGATTCACATAGGTGAGGCAGAGGCCCTGGCTCTGGGCATGGGCTCTTGGGTTTTGTCTGCTGCACAGCCGCGGTGGGTGGCAGGGTCTGTAGGGCTGGGTCTGCTGCGGCTGTACCTGTGGGCAGAACAATGGATGGGGCGCTGGGCTCAGCTCACGGGGCTCCCTCTCTAATTGCTTTCTGTTGTTCTGTTCAGTTATTGCCCCATCTCTCAGTCACTGCTGACCTGTTCCTCCAGCCTCTGCCAACAGGAGCAGTGGCAACAGGGGTGATGACAACTGGAAGTAGGCTCTCATAAGATTTTATTATGGTGTTCACACAATGTCCAAATCATCACATAATGCTCTATTGCACAGAACATATAACAGACATTACACGATAAATACATATGTATATACACAGACACGAGGGAGCTTCAAAAATGTTGTGGAAAAATGGAATTAAAAGATCACAGATTTTTTTCCCTTCTTTTAAAAGTCTGCTCGTATAGACAAATATATACAGAAATTATATATATACATATACATGTTGTTGTTGTTAAGTACCATGGAGTCAGTTCTGACTCATAGCGACCCTGTCCAGGGTTTCTGAGGCTGTAAATCTTTACGGGAGCAGAAAGCCTCATCTTTCTCCCACATAACAGCTGGTAGTTTTGAACTGCTGACCTTGAGGTTAGCTGCCCGAATCGTAACTACTACATATATTAGACGTACATATACAGATTGCTGGTGTGGTGCTGTGAACTGTTAAGATTGGCAGTTCAATCCTACCAGCTGCTCCTTGGAAACCCTATTCAGGGTCGCTATGAGTCAAAACCCACTCAACAGCACTTAACAACAACATATATGAGGGTGAGTCAAAAAGTATTGCTACAAAATCCTAGCAACCTTAACTCAACAAAAATATAAAATGTGAACCTGTTGTTTCTTGATGTATCCTCCCTGTAGGTCTTCACACTTCTGTTTATCCTGCGCTATAAGATAATGCGCTAGATTGCAAATTCAGTTTGAGCCACAAGGTCAGCGGTTTATACCCACCAGCTGCTCCTCGGAAACCCTATACAGGGTTGCTATGCGTCGGAGCCGACTCAATGGCATTTAACAACAACTCTTCTGCAGAAAATTCCATGTTTTTTTGGTTTAAACCATGTCAAATGGCAGTTTTGACATTCTTGAAGGACTTAAATCATATTTCTTTTAAAAGTCCTTTGAGTTTGGGGAGCAAAACTCAGCCTGAAGGGACATGATCAGGGCTGTAGGGTGGAAAGGGTAAGATTTCCCAATGAAATCCTCTCTTGTACGACTGACTGTCTTGGCCACTCTAGAAGAATGAGCAGGTGCGTTGTCATAATGGATAAAACTTTTTTAGCACTTTCCTGGTATTTTTCTCACCAATATAGTTTTCCATTTACTTAAAATTTTTTCCTAAGAAACCTCCGTGATTGATCTGTGTTCTTCGAGAAAACCTGTCAAGATGACTCCTTTGGAATCCCCCCAAAACAGTCACCATAACTATTTGAGGTGAACCCTCTGCCTTGAATTTAACTGGCATAGTTGATCTCCTGAGAAGTCACTACTTTGATTGAACTTTCTTTTAGAAGTCACCCTAATGAGACTAAGACATGTGTATTACTGAGAAGACATGTCTGCAGCCATCCACATGATCATGCTATTCCAAACACTGAGACACATTGAAACACGTTTTGTTTAGAATAAACCCATACATATATGAACTGGAACTCTAGTTAGTAGTGGTCATTTTTTATTTACTCTTATGTATATAAATGTAACTACATAAACATGTGTCAGTGTGTGTGTGTATAATATATGTATGTATGTGTGTGTGTGAAATGTTCACTTTGGTCTAGACAGTTGACTATTCAAGTTAAGTAGTCATTTTCCACAAATGGGGCTTCAATGGAAGGCAGTTTATTGTCCACCATCCTTATATAATAATATGTTACATAAAGCTGCTTTTGTTTTATTTTTCACAATTAGCACTTTTCATTATTGAACATATACACAACAATTTGTACATGCACAATTCAGAAATATTTGATCAAATGCTTGAAGCTGTGCACCCTTCTTTTCAGAATTATTCCTCCCCTTTTGACATAAATATATTGTCTCTGCTTTTAGTGTCTTTTAAGTGAAGACCTCGGGGAATGTGTAAAAAATGTCCTAGATTTATGGTGATTAAATATGATTATTTATAGTACCTTGGTTTAATTTGGTAGCACAGTGTTTTAAGCCCTTGGCTGCCAAATGAATGGTTAATGTTTTGAATCCACCAACTGTTCTGTGGGGACAAGATATGGTGATCTGCTTCCATATAGAGACTACAGCCTTGGAAGCATTATGGGGCAATTCTGCTCTGTGGTATGGGGTTCCTATGAGTCAGAATCTTTTAGACAGCAGTGGGTTTGGTTTGGTTTGGTTGGTTTAGTTTTATTTTTCTTGTGATGAAATGGAATGGTTTGTGTTGTATTTAAGGTCATTGTCTATGTTTAGTTGTTTTCTCATAGTAGATGATGTATGGTGGCAGTGGTCATTGAGTGACATAATTCTTCCCTTCTATGCAAGAGACCAGGCTCCATTCCCACTCAATACATCACATGCTTAGCCACCACTCATCTGTCAGTAGTGACTTGTATGTTGCTATGATACATGGACCTTCTAGACTGAGATGAACTAAAAATAAAGGCCTGGTAATCTACATCTGAAAATCAATCAATGAAAATCCTGTTGATGACAATAGTTGGACGTGTAACTTTTCATGGGAATGGCTCAGAACCAAGTAGCATTTGGTACTGTTGTGCATGGGGTCAAAGTAATTTGAGGACACGGTTCATAACAGTTAACTACAGATGATGATAAAATAATCTATTTTCCATCTCCTAAGTCCACAGACTTATTGTTATTTTTAGTAATATTCTCTTTGAATTTAGATAAATGTAAATAAACACCTCGAGGATTTGAAGTACTTACCGATAAAGAACAAAGACTACAGTTTTCAGTAAGGGTTGCACCTCAGTGTAGATAAAACAAAAATCCTTACAACTGGAACAATAAATTACATCCATGATAAATGGAGCAAAGATTGAAGTTGTCAAAGATTTCATTTTTCTTGGGTCCACAATCAATACTCATGGAAGCAGCAGTCAGGAAATCAAATGACATATTGCATTAGGCAAATCTGCTTCACAAGACCTTTTTAAAGTGTTCATGAGCAATGATGTCAGGTTGAGGGCTAATGTTTACCTGGTCCAAGCCTTGGTTTTTCAATAGTCTCATATGCATGTGGAAGTTGGACAATGAATAGGGAAGACTGTAGAAGATTGATGCATTGAGTTATGGTGTTGGCGAAGAATATTGAGAGTACCATAGATTGCCAGAAGAACAAACAAATCTGTGTTGGATGAAGTACAGCTAGAATATGCCTTAGAAGCCAGGATGGCCAGACTTCTCCCATTCTTTGGTCATGTCAGGAAGGTTCAGTCCCTGGAAAATGACATCATGCTTGAAAAAGTGGAGTTCTGGTCTTAAAAATATATATGGATTGAAATAGTAGCAGCAACAATGGGCTAAACCATGAAAACCGTTGTGAGGATGGTGCAGGACTGGGCAGTTTCATTCTGTTGTGCACAGGAGTCATTATGAGTCAGAACTGACTTCAAGGCACCTACCAACAACAACAGAATAAACACCTATCCTTATCTGCTATTTTGCCATTAGATGTTGTTCTTAACAAACTCATACCAAATTGAAATTGTTTAAAAGAGTCCGTATGCAGTGTTATTATACTCTAAACTAAAAGTAGTACATAGTCTCTTTTATGATGATATTTAATTACTGATGAAACTTTAAAATGTTCTTCAGATATCTCTTCATTTTCTTAATTCTTACACTCACCCTGGAGGTGTGTCTTTTCATTGTTGTTGTTGTTAAGTACCGCGGAGTCGGTTCTGACTCATAGTGACCCTGTACAGGGTTTCCGAGGCTGTAAATCTTTACAGGAGTAGAAAGCGTCATCTTTCTCTTGGGGAATAGCTGGTAGTTTTGAACTGCCGACCTTGAGGTTAGCAGGCCTATTCATAACCACTACGCTACCAGAGCTCCTTGTCCTTTTTCATATTAGGAAATAAAGACTTAAGAATTGTATATAATTCACCCAAGGTCACAGTTCATAGCAGGGCTAGAATTAAAACCTAATCCAGTCTAAACCTTTAGTCACTTCAATGATTATTCATGTTTCTTTCACAGGAATGAACGCTGCTGTTCGCGCTGTAGTGCGCATGGGAATCTACGTAGGAGCCAAAGTATATTTCATATATGAGGTCAGTGTTTATTTTGCATTCATTCTTTAGCTCCCAGGAAATAATCCTTGGTTTGTGTCCAGTGTTTCATAGTCTGCAGAGTGTTTTCTACTTGCCTTTCTGATGTTGCCTACAGTAGCCCGTAAGATGCGTAGGTGATGTCAGACAAAGGCAGGTCATTACAAGAATCCAGGTACTGTGATCACTAGACCAAGGAAGCCTCACCCTGAAAAGTTGTACATTTGACTTTGCAGCTCACTGGTCTAGACTGTTGTCTGTAGAGATTTGTGTTAGGAAATGAAGGGAGAAAGGTTTGAGATGTTGAAAACAAGTTATATATATATATCAATCAATTTACTGGCCTTGATTAATAGGATTAAAAATCTCAAATAGGTTGTATTTCTTTGTAACTCTCATTCCTTTAGCAGAATGTGTTCCTTTAAAATAGGCGCTGAATTTAATAAGCATTTAATAAGCTGAATTTACTTATTAAGGTAAATAAGTAAAAGCTGAGCTTGGTTGAGTTTTATATCATTAATGTAAAACCCTAATATCTGTCAATGGCTTAACTTAAAAATTAAGACTCTGACACAAAACAGAGATGTCTGATTATCTTTTACTTTTTGTGTCCTTGGTATGTAGGAGTGAATTGTATTTGAGTGAAGGGTATCAATCAATATAGGTTAGATCACTTTATTTAAAAAATATTAGGAAAAATGTATTTATATTTAGTTTGCAAATTTATAAACCATAAAGTTTTAAAATGGAAAGAAGAGAATTAAAATGTACTTCATTCTTCTAAAATTAAAGTTAATATTCCTTCCAGAATAACAGACATAAAAATCCTTGCAATACATATAGGATTAAAGTTGTAGTTAAAATGTATTTTATAGACTATATTTTTAACCTTACCATCATAATATGGGAGCTCAGTGGTGCCACCGGATAAGCACTGGACTGTGAACCACAAGGTCAATGGTTTGAACCCACCAGCTGCTCCTTGGGAGAAAGATGAGGCTTTTTGCTCCCACAAAGAGGCACAGCTTTGGAAACCCTATTATACAGAGTAGGTGTGAGTGGGAACTTACTTAACAGGCTTAACAACAACAACATTATAATATGAATAGTTTCTGTTAGCTACATACATAGGCTCTCCACCACAATTTTTAAAAAATTTAACATTTCTGCCATAATATTCTATCAAACTGATCCCTCATCATCGCTTGCCCATTGGTTTACTTGACCATTCCCTATATCATGGGACTATTTAAGTTGCTACTCATTTTTCAATAATTATAATTCTGCAAAGTCTATATTAATATTGTAAAGCTTATTTACTCTTTTTTATCTTTCTCTGGATCCTGAGATTATGGACTCTAAGTTAAAAGGGATGGTGGTTATAATGAATCTTGATAAATCTTGCCAAAATGCTTTCCAAAAACATGTTCCAAATTCCAATCCCCACTCACAGTGAGCCGGAGAATCCGTGGTACCACATCCCGTCAACTACACGGTCGGCCGCATTTATCCCACTGTGGAGATGTTTGCATGTGTTTCTTTCTAAGTTATTTTCCCCTTTTGTGAAGCGGCTGCTCTTATTTCTTGCTCGTGTGTCTTGCTGAAGAAATTTTTGCTCCTATGTGTAGTGTACATTTAAAAATTATAGTTATGTGATTTTCATGTTTTTGTCTGATTTGGCTAATTGTAAAATAATGAATCTAACCAAAGCATTTCCAGGGTATTGTTTTATCATTTTATATTTAGATCATTTGTTTGTTTGTTTTTTTAAATCAAATTGCCCTTGAAAATTTCTGTTCCTGGAACCCAGCCATCATGGCCCACTATCCTCTTCTCACTGACATGGAATGAGTACATTAGAGTTGGTGGGACCATCTCACAATTTGTAGCACAGTTGCCCCCTGCCCCATTTACATTTTGGGTTTGCGTGCAGATCCCCCAAATAACTTTTCACTTGGAATTTAGTTGCTTTTTTTTTTTTTTTACTGTTACTACTGAAAAAGTCTTTTTAATTTTCTTCTGCCTTTTGCTTCTTTTTTTTTTTTTCCTAGTGTGTATATGGGCAGGGAGTGGGCTTGGGTACTTTTTGCCTAAGTACTTGAGGAATGGAGTCCTGGTGTGGCGCTGTAGGATAAATTCTCTACTACTATTTACAAAGGCAACTGTTCAAACCTACCTGCTGCTCTTCAGAAACACTATACAGGGTCCCTGAGTAGGTACCAACTCAGGGAAACTTAACAACAATAACTTGAAGAGTATCTGCACACCCTTGTCTAATTAGCAGTTCCTAATAAGGAGCTCTGGTAGCGTAGTGGTTACGAATCGGGCTGCGAACATTAAGGTCAGCGGTTCGAAACTATCAGCTGCTCCGCGGGAGAAAGATGAGGCTTTCTACTCCTGTAAAGATTTACACCCCTTGGAAACCCTGTACTGGGTCGCTATGGGTTGGAACCGACTCGATGGCACTTAACAACAACAACAACAATAAGAGAATGTAGTTTTATAAAGCATTTTGGTGCTAAAATACTCTCAGATAGTATTTTTCTGCTAGAATTAACAAAATGTCTTAAAATTCACAGAAGACTAGTTTTCTTTGGCTTCCTGTTTATAGAAGGTTGCCCCAGGAACCTTTTGAATTTAATGGCCTGCTACAGTTTTTTGTTGTTGTTGTTGTTGTTAATCTCTGATAACTAGTATTGCAGTAGTAAATTGGTTTGATGCCCCTTCACAAACAGTCACTTAATTGCTCTCCACACTGACTTTATTGGAGGACGAACATGAAAGGAAGGAAGTCATTACAGTTATTTCATAGTTAAAAATTTACTCAACCTAGATTTCCATTAAAAGTAGCTCGAAGAATGAGGGTGGGGCTGGGGGTGAGGATGTGACTTATACCTCAGGGATATTTGCCAGAATGTGGAGACAATTTTTGATTGCTAGAAAGTAGGTTATAATTGGCATCATTTGTAGAGGCCAGAGATGCTGCTAAATATCTTACAGTGTACACGACAGCCACCCGAAACAAAAGCATTATCTGGCTACAATGCCAAAAGTACCAAGGTTGAAAAATCCTGTATGAAAAGAAATGCCAAGTCTGTATTGTTTTGAATATTTATAGTAGTGAGGCAGGTGGTAGTTGGGGGGTCAGTGAGTGTGTTGGTGTTTGATGTTTGGGTATTGAAACTGATGTTAGTAAAATTTAAGCAATCCTCCTCAGATTTAAGGGTTTTTCTTTTGTGATTGGGTGTTGGTTGTTGATGGTAGTCACTGTGTCTCTTAGATAGCTCTTTGGTGGTTAATTGCCAATGAACTGGTTCTAGCTCAGAGTGACCCTATGCACAAAAGAATGAAACGCTCCCTCTCGGTCTGGGGTCATCCTCACAGTTGGTGCTGTGTTTGAGCCCATTGCTGCTGCTGCTACTACTCTGTTAGGATCCTGGCGATATTTAGATCCCTTCTGGTCTATACCTGCCAGACTTACTACATTTGAAAAGTAAAGAATTTATACGGAATGCATCCAGGGTGCCCACTCTAGGAACACTGGGTTTTCTTTTGAGAAGAACATTTTCCTTTTGAGGAGCCTTGAAATAAGGCAAACCAGTTTTGTTTTCTACCTTGCCAGTGAGGAAAAATAGGGTTCTGTGGTCCATTTTGCTCATAAGTGGCAAGGGGTGCTTGCTACTGATCATCTTTTTGGGTCACAAGAATTCCTCAGTTCCTTTCTAAAGGAAAAAGCTGGCAGTTGTGGGTTCCTCTGCCTACTCGTTTCCTAGGGCGGAGGAATGAGGAGACCTGATTCTGAGCTGGTCCCATTTTGTTCAAGAGAACTGCAGTTAGGGGAAAGCCAGAGCCTAGAAACAGAAAACAATTGACTCACTAGGTAGGAAAGAAGGGTTAACGTGCAAAATCTCACCCTCACTGGTTCTGACACTTGACATGCGCCACACGTAGGTCTGCCCCAGATTTATATGAGCACAAGTAGGACCCAGATAAAACAGTGCAATCCAATAAAATGCCAGACCTTTAGAAGAAATACCATAGTGTTCAGAGGAATACTACTTCTCAAACACTTTCTACTACAGAAAGAGAAACTTTAATGATTACTACTAGTCATCTGTTTTGTTGGTTTGGTCCGTTGACAAACTGAAGAGATCTAGGTACACTTAGAAACTAGGCTATAAATGGACAAATGTATTGGTTCAATGACTGAATAATGCTTTAAAAAAAATAATAAAACCACAGTCTTTTACATCTGAACCCAAACGGGTCTAGTACAGTGGTCCTAGACCTGTGAGGGTGATTTTGACCCTCTGGGGACATTAGCTAATGTGGGCAGACATTTTTTATTTTCACGACCGGGGTGTCAACCAGCCTGCTAAACATCCTACAGTGCACAAGACAGCTGCCACCCCCAAATGAAGAATTATCAAGCCCAAAATGTCAGTAGTGCTGAGGATGAGAAACCCTAGTCTAGAAGGGCGTGGTCCTGAAACCATAGCTAGGTGACGTGTAGATGTTTGCAGTTACTCTTCAGAAAGTTACATAATGATTTAAATTAAAGTGCCCACTCTAAATCATGCTTGGTCTAAAAATAGTAATAATCACTGGGTAAAAAATTGGTAAATGAAAAAGAGAATTGACATAGTGGCTGCAACAGTGTGCTGGATCATCACAATGGATGTGAGGATGCTGCGGGGCAGTGTTTCTGTCGGTTGTACATAGGATTGCTATGTACTCATTGGCTCCTAATTCTGTGCCTAGTCAAAAGTTGGTGTACTCAGAAGCACATATGTAGCTGCTGCCCCAACCCTAGC